AAAAAAAAAAAAAAAAAAAAAAAAAAAAAAGATTTGAGTGAAGAAAGAAACAGAGAGAGATCATAGAGAGAAACACAGGAAAAAGGATTGATTACAAAAGGGTGGTGGGTTTTTAGCTGAGTTTTCATTATATCCAAAAGAAGGAGAGAAAAAAAAAAAAGAGAGGGGGAATAAAAATTGGTCACCAGTGTTTGAAGAATGTTGGCCGGGTGTTCATCGACACTGCTTTCGCCGAGGCATAGATTACGAAGCGAAACATCCGGACAGTTTCAAGCTTGCCATAATATTTCCACAATGAGCACACAGAGACTCGACTTGCCGTGCAGTTTCGTTAGGAAAGACGGGTCGAGGCCTCAGCACGTCAGGCCCGTTGGCCTTTCGGTTGTCGACAAGCCCGTTGATTCCAAGCCCGCTGGTTGCTCTCTCCGGCAGAACATCAAACTCCCGCCAACCCCAACCGAAAGCAGGCGTGAAAAAGTTGGCGACTTTTGGGACAGAGGTAGAAGCTCGAAAAAGAGGTATGCAGCTGAAGAAGTCATCTTCGACGACGAGAGCCACATGAACCGATCAGAGAGGAAAAGGGCCCGTGGCTCACCCAAAGAAGAAGAAGAAGGGGGGCATTTGAGGAATTTACGCTGGTTCCATCCGGGCTCGTCTGAGGTCCCCTTCAGCCTCTCGTGCTCGGGAGATGAAAATCAAGAGCTCGTTGTAGCTTCCCCTCTGCCCCCTCTTTCGAGCATACCGTGGCTCGACTCAGTAGCAATCAAGTGTCCCGAGAAGGACTCGTCTGGCTCGTCATCGTCGAGTGGTTCCGGCAATAGCCACCGCCAGCCAATCATTCCCGAGCCGGGCCACACCTTATCCGGGCCCAAGTCTGGCAATGGCTCGTCACCACCCGACCTTCCCGAGCCCGTCTTTTCGCCACATCACCACAACGGTGGGACCCACCACAACAACCACCACTCAGAGGAGCACGAGTGTGTCGAGCTCGTCAGCCTTCTCGTCTCGTGTGCCGAGCAAATCGGGTCGAGAAAAAACCCAGCCGCTGCCACCACCTGTCTCGTCCGCCTCGGCGAGCTCGCTTCCCCGCGCGGACCGTCCGCCGTTCACCGCCTCGCAGCATACTTCACCGAAGCTCTGGCTCTCCGAGCCGCTCGACTCTGGCCGCACGTGTTCCACTTCCCACCACGGGAGCTTGACCGGGCCCACGACGAAAACGAGGCCCTCCGAGTCCTAAACCAAGTGAGCCCAATCCCGCGCTTCGTCCACTTCACGTCTAACGAGATCCTCCTCCGGGCTTTCGAGGGAAAATCCCGAGTCCATTTGATCGACTTCGATGCGGGCCTAGGGTTACAGTTTCCGGGCCTTCTCCAAAGCTTGGCTTCTCGACCCGACCCACCGACCCACGTCCGGATCACGGGCGTGGGCACCGGGTCGAAGCAGGAGCTTGTCGAGACGTTCGACCGACTCTCAGGACTCGCGGCCGAGATGAATCTCCCGTTCGAGCTTCGATTCCACCCGGTTGTCGATCGGCTCGAGGATGTTCGCCGGTGGATGCTTCACGTGAAGGAAGGGGAAGCCGTGGCCGTGAGCTGCATTTTCCAGCTGCACAAGCTGCTTTATGACGCGACCGGAGCTGCAATACGAGACTTCTTGGGAGTTATCCGGAGCACGAATCCAGAGGCGGTGGTTTTAGCCGAGCAAGAAGGGAAGCACGACGGGTCGAGCCTCGAGTCGAGGCTATGCAATGCTTTGAGATACTATGCGGCGATTTTCGACTCGGTGGATTCGAGCCTGCCTTTGGGGAGCGCGGCTCGGTTGAGAGTTGAGGAGATGTTCGGTCGGGGGATTAGGAATATAATCGCATGCGAGGGTCGGGAGAGGGTGGAGAGGCATCAAGTGTTCGGGAGGTGGAGGGAGGTTATGAGGGGGAGTGGGTTTAGGAGCGTAGGGATTGGGGAAAGGGAGGTGATGCAAGGGGAAATGATGGTGAGGATGTATTCTTCATGTGGGGAAGGTTTTCGAGTCGAGAGGAAGGAGGAAAACGGGTCGGGTTGTGTTATGCTGAGATGGTTGGATCAGCCGCTTTATAATGTCTCGGGTTGGGTACCGGAGGATCGGGCTGGTGGGTCTTTGGCGAGTTGAAATGTGTATTTTGTGTTTAGTTCGGGATTTAGACAATCGTTGTTTTATAGGAAGGAAATTTATATAGGTCGTGGGAGAGATCGAATTCTTTGTAGGTTTTAGGGAATATGGTTCGTTCATTCGTTCGTTCGTTCGTTCGTTATTTTGTTTCGAGATTGGAGGTCTGCAGATGATGATGGCGCGTATGTATGTTTGATTTGTCAGGTTTTTTTCTCTTCGATTCTTTGATTCATTGTATTGTTTTTGTGTTTTTGTCAAAGATTCATGTAGTCATCAGTCAGTGATATGTAGTTTTGGAAGATTTGCTGGTGTATATGAAATGGTTATGTTTCTTGTTTTCTGTTTTACATCATCATGTGTGAGTCCAGTTTCTTTGTTTTTTATTTGGATTTTCTCAAAGAGAATGCACAAAAATCTCAAAGAGAATGCAGAAAAGGACAGAAAATAAAATGCTATCAGCCCATTTATATAACTAATGCCACCTCAATTGCTGCTGTCCCCAACAATAAAATTATACTAACACAATTATCTGTATAAGTTATGTGTATTTTGAGTACTTATCAATAGAGATGTTAAATGGTCTTTGGTCCGATGGGCCGACTCGTTTAGCCCGAAAAAAAAACAGGGTTAGGTCCTTTTATTAGTAGCCCGTTTAAATCAGGACTTTTTAGGCCCGGACCGTTTATCCCGAAGCCCGCTAAGGCTAGCCCGAAACCCGTTAGGGTTGGCCCGTTTAACTAAGGTAGGGCGGTGTAAATGTTTGCTATCAACTAAGTAATGTGTTCTTAAATTACTTGTATATTACAATTTTGGTATTCCACTTCACATGTAAGTATGAGTTGTAATCAATTATTATGATTTTGAAAGATAATTATTAATAATATTGTTATTGTACTTCATACGAAAATATTTAAACCAATCAGAACGACTAATAAGAAACACATGAAACATAGTGATATCCGATAAATACTAAATAGCAGTTGAAAATAATTTTTAACTAGCCATTGTTATTTTTGTTATATATTTTTTACTCTTTTTATTTGTGATTTATTTATTTATTATTATTATTGTTATTATTATTATTATAATTATAGTCTGCATAGCCCGTTTAGCCCGAAGCTCGCTAGGATTAGGGTTAGGTCCCTTTTTTGGTAACCCGTTTAAATTCGGTCTTTTTAGACCCGACCCGTTTAACTCGAAGTTCGCTAGGGCTAGCCCGAAACTGCCAAGGCCAGCCCGTTTAACATCTCTACTTATCAAACTTGATATGTATATTTTCATTGAATATATTTTGCATTGTAAGATATTTTATTGCAACAATAATATATATATATATTTATATATATCTAATGTCTCTTATTATACAAAAAGAAGTTTGGCACTGTAGCGAAAAGATTTTTCTATTCTTCCCATTTTGCTTGTTATGTTGACATGTGTCCACCTTTGTTTTTGCTTTGTTTTGTTTTGTTTTTTTTATTTATTTTTTAATGTTGTTTAGTTCATTTTTAATAATAGCAATTACTTTTCTATTACAAAGTGAGAGAGGCGAGACACACATTTTTTTTCTTTTGTATTTTTCACTTCAAAAATCTTTACCAGTTTCACAAAATTTGACCGGAATTTAGCAGAAATCCATTGAAAGTTGTTATAATTTCCACACAATTTTTTCTTTTCCTCTGCCGCGAAGCGTCTACACCTCGACATCAATCTCCTTAGGGTTTCGATCTCCCGAGAAATTTAGCATCAATGAACCTGATGCAATTGATACCAGAAGTAGAAGATCGGAATTTGGAAAATGATCGCTTAGATCCTCGACTCTCCACACATTCTCGGGCGGGTCAATCTGATCGTAGATCGATTCCGAGATCTTGCTTGTTCCAGTGACAGAACAACCGAACTCGAGTGAGGTGTGAGCACAAAAGGTAGACAGTTAATAAATTTCATCCCTTCAGGAGGATGGGTGGGCAAGGAGCTAGAGCTGATCATTTTGTTCTCAAAGTTCTTAACAATAACAAGGTACTTAGAGAAGTGGTTGTTCTATCTAATCTTTTCTTGAAAATTTAATTTTTTATGCAAACAATACCTTTTTTAACTTTCTATACTTCTTCCGTAAAATAAAATATAGTGCTCTTCGTATTTCATCTACCGTCTTGCAGGCCATTAACTGGTGATTGCAGGTTTTAAGTTTTGCGCTGAGATATACGACACTTTTTTTTATTCTGTTTTTCTAGTGTAGCTTTCCATGAAAGAAAAGTGATTATTTTTTTTCTTCATGTTTAGACATATAGAAATATACATACGTATCTATACATAGGTTGCAAAAAAAAAAAAACAAAAAAAAAAAACAAAAAACAAAAAACAAAAAAAAAAAATCTCAATTTTTACTTTTGTCCTTTTGTTTTGTAGACCTGGTAATAACATGTTCAAGGAGCATTGTTATTAGTTCCATTTTAAGTGTTATAAGTTAACAATGCTTAAGGTATGTTATGACCTCCTAGAACAAATATCTTCATTTTTTATTTCTTCTTTTTCCCAGTATTTATTTCAAAAGGCAGAAACTTTATGCTATTCTTAGATATTTGGTTATTGACTATTTTTTTGACATCTGCAACTTGCAATTTAATGTATTTTACAATATATTTGTGGTTGTCTATCAATTGTTATGTATTAGCTAGCTGCTTTTCTTTGTAGTCTCTTAATTTCTTGTTTTACTCAGCTTATATAGATGCATATGTGTGTCAATTAAGTCACTTTTACCTTCATTCATCTACATATTTTTACTACTTTTATACATTATAATTATCTATGTGACTGTATCTAGACTATAGTTTTATTCTTAATAAAATTGTAACTCGAGGTGTTGTTTTGTAGGAACATTGTTTGGAGCTCTTGGAATTCTGTTGGCCAGCATGAAATTTGGAGTACTCGTGTGTTGCTTACAGGTTATATTCTTTCTGTAAACACTTTTGCCTTGCAAAAACATCTATTGTGTGATAACATCAGTTGCATTTTGCTTTGGTTGTTGTGTGCTTTCTATTGTTGTCTTACATCATTCATAATGCTATTTTTCAATTAAGTCTCATCTTACAAGTTTGGATGTGTATTTGCTATGACTATTTGATGTGCTTTATGTTTTGTGTGCTCGTTTAAATTATTCAGTGACTGCTTCAATTTGCTTCGTTTTGGACATAACTCTTACTGCCTTTTTACTCATCATATTTCTTACCTGTTATATTTATTTTACCTTACTGACTTTTTCCTCCTAATATAATTTACAGTGGCAGATGACCAAAATTTATGCTCAAGTAGCAGCTGCAGTGGAAGAAAATGAAGTCATTTGTGTTGTTCGCCATTACAACGTTGACACTTCTGGTTTCAGAGCAAACAGTCAAGGATCAAGTAGTTGTGGGAGAAGTAACATATACACTGTCATCAAATTCTACACACTTGAAGAAATCTCCCAGTGAAAATCAACTCCTTTCACTGATCCTATTGAAGAAGGAAAAATTGGTTCAACAATAACCTCAGGCGGCACTTGTTCAGGCCAGACCAACTATAGCAGCAGCTCCCCAGACAAGCAATTCTTCAGCTCTATTTGTGGTAAACTATTGGAGGCAATTGCAGAGCAAGGAGAAGAAAAGGCAACATCAGAAACCTCCAAAACTGCAACAAACGATATCTTGTGGAAGAAGTAACAGATACATTGTCATCAAACTCTACACACTTGAAGAAACCTCCCAGCAAAAATCAACTCCTTTCATTGATCCTATTGAAGAAGGAAAAACCGGTTCAACAATAACCTCAGGCGGCACTTGTTCAGGCCAGACCAGCTATAGCGGCAGCTCCCTAGACAAGCAATTCTTCAGCTCTACTTGTGGTAAACTATTGGAGGCAATTGCAGAGCAAGGAGAAGAAAAGGCAAAATCAGAAACCTCCAAAACTGCAACAAACGATCTCTTGTGTTCACCGATGATGTCATGGAAATCGATCAGCCAAAAGAAACTTCAACCACTGTGCAAGCCAAAAAGTTACCATGGTCACCTTAAAAAATCGGCCAAGGACCTGTTCTGCACAAGAAACCGAGGGACAAATTAGATTGAACACTAAACACCCAAATCTTAACCAATTTTTGTATGACTTAAACAATGACTTTTGTATCACTCAAACAATACTATTTTGTCTTTTGTCCTGATTATATTAGTATTAATAAGCCATCAAACCCAAAGACTTAATAAGTCCTAATATAACTAGAATGAATCCCCTATAATATGTTCCTGAACACTATGCAGCTTCTAACATTTTTTTTTGATGTATATATTTAAAGTGTCATGCTAAGAATCTTATGTGGTGCCACTTAGTTTGGTGTATGTATCATGCTAGGAATATTATCAAGTCACTGCTTTCTCGTTAAGTATAATTAAACTGTCTTGTTGGGAATATTTGATATTTACAACCACCTACTTATATTGTACATGGGTAGTATTTATAATTTTGTGCATGTTATCATCAATTACTTACACTTGAATTTATTTAAGTCATGTTTATAAACACATATTATGTTTTTAACATTCAACTTTATAGTAATTTTTTCATTCCTAATATTTAAATGCCTAAATAATTAACTCCACTTGACCGTGGGCCTCGCCGTGCTTTGCACGGGGGTTCTTCCCTAGTATATATATATATATATATATATATATATATTAAACAAATATTTGCTATAATCAATCATCAATGCAATTTTTTTTATATATGACATTATATGAGCATTTATTGCAGCAGTAAAACAAATAACCTACTGTTTAGAAATTCATTTATATTCATACATATATCAATTATTTAATTATTGATCATAGCGTGCTATAAAATAAATCCCCCTTATATATATTTCAGAATGCGCGATTCCTACATTCGTAATCTTACATGGAAAAATATTATGCTTTGTAATATGACTTGGATAATAATTACTAATTTTTTATATAGTACTAAATAACTTAGGT